ACATTTCTTAGTAATTAGCAGTGATATTGGACAAACTAATACGCGTTTGGCTATAAGGTAATGTACTTATTAACTACACAAGGTGCCAGTTACTGTAGCATTCGTCAACTTTGCATAATCGATGGTCGAATTATGCCTTTAATACCAGATTAAAATATGCCAAATTTATACTTTTTTTTTATTATGCACTCAGTTATCAGTTGAGTCTCAAAAGCAGCACAACACACACTTTTAGTGGTTCATTTTCGTTCATTTGTATTTTTTAAATTGTAATTTATCTGTGTATACATTTGCATATATATATTGTATAACATCAGGAGTCTTGATAGACTCCTGATAACATGGTATAAAGAATTAAGTTTGTTAAAATCAGGTGCTATTCATCTTTTTGATAATGTCATCAATCGGGACTTCACTGGTACATAACTCTGCCAGATTGACCAACTAATTTGGTTAAAATGAGGTGATATCCATACGTTTGGAGAAATATTTACTTTTTAAAATCTGCTCATTATTTTACGATGAAAGTGACCCTGAACTGCATGATACCGTGCTATATTGAGGGGTTTAGTTTATTGACCTATGTATTTAGTTTAGTTTAGTTTTCATGTATTATTTTGATGTAAAGCAAATCCCAACAAGTGCCGCAGAGCGACTGGGCTCATCTGAGGTCTGTTGCTACGGTTATAAACGTAACATTTCAGTCGTGCGTAGTGACACCTTTGTTAGGCGCAGATATGCAGATACGCAGTTGCGTACACATCATTTCAGCAAACATTTTTTTTATTGCAGAGAGAGAGCGAGAGAGAAAGAGAGAGGGGGGCGAGAGAGAAAAAAAGAGAGAGAGATGGAGAGAGTCAGTCAGACTAAATTGTTTATAAACAAATAACACCCACGCGGCGCGCTACTGTATCAGTTACGTCATCGATTGAAATGTACATTCCGATTTTGCCGCGCGGCGTCCAAACTTTTGACGAAGATGGCGTGCAGAGGTAATGCAGACGCACGTATAACGTACAGATTTCTTTAATGTCGGGGAGGATCAACACATTTCAACTGACAGTCAACTATCGGGCTCTGCAGCGTCCACAAGCCAGCATGCTCCACCATATCCCAACATTGCACACTACTGTAATGTCGATGGAGAGAGCCATGCCAAGAACAGTACAAAACTGGCAAATTTTCATTGGTAGGTTTGAGTTTGACGATTCATTTCTGCAATTACTTATCTCAAGATTGATTAAACTGAAGTTAAGAAAGTAATTCTTTCTGCATTTTTGAGCGCAATATAAATTTGACCTATCCTGCCGGGACATTCTTCTCACTCTGTTCTGATAGATGGCGTGCATACTGACTATGTGCAGGGAATAGATAATCCGAACTAGTTGCTACCTTTGTTTAGCCCATGCTGTGATACTATCAGCCACCCACCTGACACGCAGCTAGGGCCTGCATACCTCCCAAATCCCATTGGTTGATACAAATCATGTGCCTAAAACTCCTGTTTTATGGTGCGTACAGTGCGTTCGATTTGCTTCCCCAGAGCCACCTGGGTTAACCTGGGTAAGAAATCAAACGCATCTGGGTTAGGGAAGATAAACGAACGGTTTTTGCGTTAACCCGGGTTAATTATCATCATGGATGCCAGTGACAAGAAAAAAAAGAATAGCAATTGCAATCTTATTATTAAAGGGAGAGTTTACTCTAGGTTCTAGTGTAGGCGCTGGATATCTTCTGCTGCCAGGCGACTGTGCGCTTATAGATGAGTGCTATATGCGCCGTGAAATGCGTGAATAAACTTAGAAATATGATAAATAAAAGGTAGAATTGGTAATGGTTGACAACTGCCATTTCACCGTATATTTTATACTCACTAAAACACGTACAAGTCACACAGGCTAAACTAAAGGTTGCGCACTACACATAAAATCTAGCAACAGACGAGGGTGAACACAAGAGCCCTGTGTCTCCTGTGCGGCCTGTTTTATACCCTTTCTTGCAAGATGAGCCGCGATGCTACTACCAAATATATTTCTACCAATCACTGCTGGCTACAGGGACGACATAGGGTTTGGGATTAACGGCTATGGTCAGTTTTTAGAGAGGTATGAAGTGGACGGCCAATGGCGAGTAAGGAGTGGGGATGTTTTTACGCCCCCTCGGCCACGTAGGTGACCGATGTGGGTATGACGTAGGGCGGACGATAGGTTACGGTACTTGAGTGTTAGCAGCAGTGTAGAATTAACTTCAGTCGGGTAATGTGTGTATTTAAGATGTTACTTGACAAAGCTGACCAGTACTAATGGGCAGTGATGCGGTTAATGTGTATTTAAGATGTTACTTGACGAAAGCTGACCAGTACTAATGGGCAGTGATGCGGTTAATGTGTATTTAAGATGTTACTTGACGAAAGCTGACCAGTACTAATGGGCAGTGATGCGGTTAATGTGTATTTAAGATGTTACTTGACGAAAGCTGACCAGTACTAATGGGCAGTGATGCGGTTAATGTGTATTTAAGATGTTACTTGACGAAAGCTGACCAGTACTAATGGGCAGTGATGCGGTTAAT